TCTGTGAGTCTCTGTGCGTCTCTGTGAGTCTCTGTGAGTCTCTGTGTCTCTGTGTGTCTCTGTGTGTCTCTGTGTGTCTCTGTGTCTCTGTGAGTCTCTGTGTCTCTGTGTGTCTCTGTGAGTCTCTGTATCTCTGTGAGTCTTTGTGTCTCTGTGTCTCTGTGAGTCTCTGTGTCTCTGTGAGTCTCTGTGTCTCTGTGTGTCTCTGTGAGTCTCTGTGTCTCTGTGTGTCTCTGTGAGTCTCTGTGTCTCTGTGAGTCTCTGTGTCTCTGTGTCTCTGTGAGTCTCTGTATCTCTGTGAGTCTCTGTGTCTCTGTGAGTCTCTGTGAGTCTCTGTGTGTCTCATTAATGTGGCTCTGGGCCAGTAATCAGTGTGTCTGCTGTAACACAGCTCCTCTTTGTTCTCTGCTGTATTGATTCTTTCAGGCTCGTCTATGGAGATTCAACTGGCGTGTTGTTCAGAGTGTCTCTGAGGTTCCTTGATGCCCTGAAACCTGAACGCTCAAACCACAAGCGCCAACCATCTCTCACGAGTCTGTCTCTCCCTTATACCTACGGTGTTCGTTTCTATGTAGAGATGTCTAGACTAAAAGCAGTTCATGTTTGTAAGATGTTTGACTCCTTAGATAGCGATTCTGACTCAACCAGACAATCGGTTTATCCGATCGATCACAGACCTGTTTGAAAAGACATTCCAGTTGGTGCCACTAGTGTTGAAGAAAGTACACACACGTATCACTTCACCTTCAACAAATCAAATTCCTTATCTTATAGAGTTTAATAAGGTTTTGGAATGTATTTGAAATTTAGAGGCCCATGTGGAATAGATCTAATGTTAAAATGTGTCAAAGTCGACACGATACAGAAGTTGTGCTCGTCTTTTCTCCCCTATTAGGCCGTATATCCGAGTGAAACGCTTCTGGAACAAGAACAAATGAAGAGCGCCCACATCATCAGAGAAGAGAAGAGATGCTGCAAGAGGAAGTTATTCGGATTCAAGGTTACGAGGAACATGAATTTAAAACAATAATAATGTGCACAACGATAAATCATTAAAATAAACACTGCAATATTCCATAAAAATAAGAATTCTCAATTTTGAATGCACTTCATGACTGTCATTCTGATTTCTCTGTTGAATTATTCTGTGTGGGTTTTGTCTGGTCAAAAAATTAACATGAATTTTTCTGAATTTAGTTGTATTTTAAAAATATGTAAAATGATATCAACTTAGTCAAAGTTTTCTGCTTTTTGTCTTCAAAACAGTTTGACAGTTTTTTTATTATCTTAGGAAAATCAAACATCAATAATAATAATAATGATATAGTTATAAAATACAAATTAACACAAAATGTCAGGCAAACACCGCTATGCTACCACTAAGTGTACTTTCTTCATTTTTACATTTTTAAAAAACCTTTAATTAATTTATTTTCTATACCAGGTTTAAAAATGAGGACATCCCTAAAAGGAGGTTTTGGAGATTTTGTCAGGTTTTGGTCACTTCTGGGTGCAAATTTGCCCCCAAAAATATAGTTAAGTAGGTACACACACACACACACAAGCGTAATGGGGGTATGTATGTTTGTGTGAACAGCACAGATAGTGTGATTGCGGTGTGTGTAGAGTGAGGTTTTAAGTGATTACTGTAAAGCTCTTTCATTGATGAGAAATGTGATATATGATTTGGCATTAATTCATGTCTGTATTGATATGCAGCTGAAAATCCTCCATGCTGTCTTAAGTCGTATGTCAATAGCCGTTCCTGGTTGTTCTTTTTATGGTATTAAGACTGTAAATTAGGATCTTTTATTTATTGCATTATATATGTGCCCGCAGAATTGAGAGATTTACAGATATCGTTCACAAATTTCCACACACTTTCCACATGGTGCGTGTTTGTTTTTATATATTAACATTTGACAATACTTTCAGCTCATTCGAACACGTTTCATCCAGAATTAGTGCAGAAAACTGTTGGGAGCTCTTTTAAGATGGTCCAGATGATTAGACAGATGATCCAGTGGTTTTCCATATGGACGAGGATAGCGTCTCCCCCACTATGGTGTTGTATTTGACATCGTGATCTGAAATGGACTCTGTTGCTTTTAATAGCTGTGAATGTATGACATAGAATCACATTAGGGTGGCAATATTGTGCCTCATCATAAACACTGAGAGGAAATATGGCCGGCACAATCTTTTATATTGATATTCTGAGAGGTGATTTTACAAAAATTAAAAGTTCAGTGGTTTCAAACTGGTTTGGTGTGCACCAAAATTGGATGCAAACTATTTTTCTTACTTTAAATTGCAATAATATTTCAAAAAATTACTGTTTGCACTGCATATTTGATCAAGTAAAGACTTGATGTAAATAAGTGAAGATACTTCTTTAAAAATATATTACTGTACTATTTTTCTTCTTCCAATTTATTTTGCTATTCCCCAAAGACCCTTTCAGTGAACAGTTCTTAAAAGAACCAGTTTTTCTTTCTTTGTGTGATGAACATTTAAAAAATCTAAAGAACCTTCTTTACCGTTATATCTACATTTTGGAGTCGTGACCCACCAGCTAAGAATCACTCATGCATATCATTTTACATGATTCCATTTGCTAAAATGTCTTTAACTTACAATAAACATCCAGGATTTTGTGATGATTCTGAACACTAAAAGTTTTCCAAAGTCAAAAAACAAGGTCCAATATTGCAACCAGCAGTTTAAAGTCAGTCTGAAACAGAAGTTCTCCTTAAACGCTTCTGGAACAAGAACAAATGTGGGCGGGGCTTGATTGTGTCCGTGAGGACGTGATTGGACGGTTGTGGTTTGCTATTGGTGCTCGGCCACAGTTTGGAACAGGGAAACTGGCCTGAAGTGTCTTACATTTATTTCTGCTCTGAGATTACTGGATGTTCCCAAATCCCGACTGAGTTAAGCAGGCCTTTCTCAATCATACACACTGGATCCAGTGTGTGTGTGTGTGTGTGTGTGTGTGTGTGTGTGTAACCGCCCCCTCTTTCCCTGTGGCAGGAGCAGTAGAGTGGATGCTTCAGACCTGGAAGGCTCTTTTCAGCTTGGTCACACACACACACACACACACACACACACACACACACTGAGGTCCTGCTGCTTGGCTGCGCACCATGGGTCACCGGCTTACATTAGAAAAACTCAACTGAACACAGTCAAGCGTGCTGCTGGAACATACCTGACAAAACACAGCGTTAAAACAGATCCATACACTATATGCTCAAACAAGACGTTCAAATAAAATGCATAAAATCATTTAAGTGGATTTCACAAACACTTTGCTACTGTTTAATTAAAAGAGGAGATCAGTATGAAAAATGTAAGCATCCAACATTATTCACTGGGATTTCCTCGACTGAAGTGAAGGATAGAATCATTCGATCGTTAATCCTGAATTAAGCACATTAACCGGGCAATAACTGAAATGAATGAAGGACAAGGTCGATTGTTTTGATTGGGAGTGAAATATATCTATTCCTTGGCAGCGGGCTGGAAAATGAGATGAGTCTCAGAGAAAATGGAGGTCTATCACTGGTCAAAGGGGAAAGTGAGAGACAGACCTGAATGTCAGACTCAGTGATTTAGCTCATGTTCGACACATCAGTGTATCCACATCCTGAATGGCCATCACTTATAAATGTCTAATGTGTTCCTAACATGACTGAATGAATAAATTAATGAGTGAATGAATGAATAGATGAATAAATTAATAAATTAATAAATTAATGAATGAATGAATTAATAAGTGAATAAGTGAATAAGTGAATGAGTGAATAAATGAATAAATGAATAAATGAATAAATGAATTAATTAATAAATGAATGAATAAATGAACGAATAAATAAATGAATAAATAAATACATGAATGAATGAATGAATGAATGAATGAATGAATGAATGAATGAATAAATGAATGAATGAATGAATGAATGAATGAATAAATGAATGAATGAATGAATGAATGAATGAATGAATAAATGAACGAATGAATGAATGAATGAATAAATGAATACATGAATGAGTGAATAAATGAATAAATTAATAAATTAATAAATTAATTAATAAATGAATACATGAATGAATAAATGAATGAATGCATGAATGAATGAATAAATTAATGAATGACAAATAAAATACATGACATTTAGATTCTATAAATATAAAAATAAATATTAATTTAGTTGAATTATAATAATATTTTACGTATAATAATATATTGTTATAAATAATGCATATAATTATATAACATCATGTTTCATTATAAATATAATAATATAATGTAATTTGATTTAGTAATCAAAATATAAAAATAATATTCTATTAACATATTAATTTATATTACAATATATTATCACAATTATTATAATATGCTTTGTGTAATAAGCATAAACCAAGCATAAAAATCTTATTTTATGTAAAAAAATATTAAAAATATAAAAAATATTAAGTATTTTAAAATGTTTTATTTATTTGTTATAATTCAATACTATATAAATATAATAATGTAAGTAATATTTTATATAAATTATATGTATATATATAATATATATACATACATTTTACATTATATATATATATGGACATACTAATAGAGCATACTTATTACTCAAAAATATTACAAACAATAATTATAGCTAATATAGCTACATTAATATGTTAAGATATTATACAGTATGTTTGAATTATTAAATTCTATTATTAAACATGAATTTAATTATTTTAATAGCCAGCATTTATATTTGCATACTGGTCACACCCCCAAACATTTGTTATCACAGAAAAGGCCAGACATGTGTGCAGCGGACTAACATGAATATCTGCCTCTCAGGAGGGCACGAAGCGCGTTCCCGCGTCTCATCTCCTCTGCCCAATGATTGACGTGCACTGAGAGACATACGGGGACGGGGTTACACGGTCCCTGCGTCCAATCAAGATGCATGGGCGGGGCCTAAAGCATCGCAGAGTCTCTGAGCGCCGAGAGTGCTACAATGTAACAAAAGCAGCGGGATGAAACAGTGAAATAACGCGCGAGTGTATGAAGCGCTGCGTTCTTCACGCGGGACCTGGTTAATAACACACACACACACACACACACACACACACTGGTGAGTTTAGTGGTTAAAAGGCTGGTAGTGGCTCGGGCTGTGAGTGACTGAGCTCAGGAGGAGTGCAAGAGAGTATTAGAGGAGTCTCCGACCGGAGAGCAACCGGAGAGCGACCGGAGAGCAACCGGAGAGCGACCGGAGAACCGGAGGACCGGAGCGGGCCGACATGGACGAGCAGCCGCGCCTGATGCACGCTCATACGGCCGTTGGGATGAGTGGACACCCCGGCCTGTCTCAGCACATCCAGGACAACACCGGAGCGAACGACGGAGACGGGAGAAAGCAGGACATTGGAGACATTTTACAACAGATCATGACCATCACTGACCAGAGTCTGGACGAGGCGCAGGCCAGGTGAGCTGTCACTCATCACACACAAAGATCTGGAATATTCATATTCACTTTCAACTTTAAGACGCCTGTGACACTTGATTAGAGTATAAAATAAAATACACTTAAGAAATATTCACTTAATTAATTAAATAATTCCAAAGGCATACCCGTGACAGAAAAAAAAAATGTATGCACTATACATTTTTATAAATAATATATTGTTAATTTAAATATATAAATGAAAAATGATATGTGTATAACAATAAAACATTTACACACACACACACACACACACACACACACACACATATATATATATATATATATATATATATATATATATATATACACATACAGTATATTAGTTATATAAAACATTATATACATGTTACATTTACATTTTGTTTAATAACATATCAATTATATACAGTACAGACATTATATATATATATATATATATATTACTTCACCATCACTTTTAAAGATAAACTTCCAAAAAATATTTAATTAACCTAATTTAATTGTAAGCATACCTATACTGTCAAATTATGATAACAACCATACAATGCTAGTTACTGTTGCAACAACTCGTAATTAATGAATATGAAATGGTCTATTTTGTGTTTTGATGTCAGTTGGCATCTAAGTTTCTTTCACTAATCAAGTGTAAAAACAAAAGCAATTCTATTGTAGTAACAATAACTGTGATATTTTGGTTACTATAGTAAGGGAATATAGGTAATATGTTTGACATCTTTATAATAATTGGCAATTAGCAAATGTTTACATGCGTATCAGGAGTTATTGACAAGCAGGCATCCAGAAACGGACTGATAAGACGATTGCTGTTGTCAGTGTGTCCAAACACATGTGCTGTGTAGTGACAGACATCCTTTTTCTGACACGCAGAGCTCATTTTTTGTCAATAGAAATGAAAGAGATGCCAAGATAAAATTTGACAGACAGCACCGAGTCTCACCGCGTCCCTTTAGGATGAATATTGTTCCAAACGGAGATTCTTAATTCATCAAATAGTTTTTAGCATTTTTTTCTTTTTGTATATTTTAGAACTACAATTGTTAAAAATGGGCATTACAATACGGTTCCATTAGTTAATGCATTAAATAATATTATCTAACAATGAGCAATACATTTGTTGCAGTATCTGTTAATCTTTGTGAACGTTATTTTATAATAATGCAATCTCAAGTCTATTAACTAATGTTAACAGATGCAACTTTTGATTTTAATAATGTCTATTAGTAAATATTTGCATGAACTTATATTAATAAATGCTATTGTTCATTGTTAGTTCATGGAAACTAATGTAGTTAAGAAATTAAAGTGTAACCTAAAAATATAATCGCCCCACAACCATTACCATTGCTAAATGAATACTTGAATCTATCATAATGTTTTTGCATATGGATGTGTTTAATAAAAACATGCTGTTCAATAATTATATCCTTATAGTATTTCAGAGTTGTTACAGTACATACAAAGATACAAAACTATGAATTATTAACTACTGAAATAATACTATGGAATTTTGTTAATGTAATGCATAAGCATAAATATGATAAACAGAGACTGCAATGAGCTAATGGTCAATATGTGCTTTTGATTCCACCATGATCACTTGACGTTCAGGCAACAGGCAGATAAATAAGACTTTACAGCAGAGTGAAATATTGTGCCGTTCAGACGCTTCACCGCGGCCTTGTGTTGTGTTTCAGAAAACATGCGCTCAACTGCCACCGAATGAAGCCGGCGCTCTTCAACGTCCTGTGTGAGATCAAGGAAAAAACAGGCAAGTGGTGTAACCTTCCAGCACATCATATTCTCTGAAACGACTGGACATCAGTTGGATGAAATGCATTGGTATTTCAGCGTCTGGTCAACACTGTGAAAGAAACGTTTTGTATTTGAAGGGTTTGCACATGTTAGTTGTGTAAATACTCTCAACAACAGCTGGAAGGAAAAAGTGTTTTTCTACATTGTGCATTGGATGTGGATGTTTCAGAGTGAGGATCTCAGTGGGTAAATGTGGTTTTGTGGCGATCGTAGTGAGGAAATGAAGAAAAACGTTCAGCCTCTTTGACCTCTCGCTGCTAAATCATCTTTACTTTTTGTGTGTGTGTGTGTGTGTGTGTGTGCAAAAATCCAGCTATGTTTTGGTTAGGAAAGTGCAGGATTAAATTTCAAACCGCCATAAGTTGTTTCGCTGAAATGTTTATTTAGTTGCGTTTGGCTGAAGCGATGAATGAACGTCGTGTTTGTGCATTTTTGGAGGGAAAGCGTGTTTCATTTGCTGGCGTCGGTCACGATGAAAACAGTGGTGGAAGAAGTAACAGTGGAGGATCTCTGCGAAGGGTTTGTGCTGGAGAGATATTGAGACGCTATCGCTCTGCGGTTTGATGTGGAAACGGTTCCGGCGTGTTTCACAGTCATTAGTGCATGTAATAAAAAGGAGTAGATGAAGGATAAAGCCGATTTCTCTGGCATTATCTCTGGGACTGCTGTGTTCCAGCTGTGAGCCGTGGGTGGCTCTCGTCGGGGGTGTTTCTGCCGAGCGTCCGAGAGGAGACTGACACAGTTATGCGTGGAGGTTTACTCCCCGCCGTTTGTTTTTCTTTTTCGAGTTCACGCAGAGTTCGGACGATGTGGACGTATCCCAGACTGCACTGCTCCTCTTTGCCCTTTTCCTGCGAAAATATGAAAGGCCAAACCGTGGAGCCTGAGCTTGACTCGAGTGTTTAGATCTGAGCTTCGCTCGAGAGCGTAAGAAAGTTTTCCTCCCACTCCTGCTGCCTCTATGAGCCCTTTTTTAAAATCTTTTCAGATCATTGCTCAGGTCTAAAAATGTTTTGGATTTTAAAAGTATACCATCAATTTGAGTTTGTTTTTTGGTCACTCAGTGTTTTAACAGAAGATGCTGAATTGCGGTGTACGCTGGTTATTTGTTTTGAAATCATAAAGGAATCAAAATAACTCTTGAGAATTGTTTATTATGTTTGACATCAGTGGCAAAACTACGCGGGAATGATGTTTGAATCAGTGTGTGTTTAGCACAATAGCTAGTGCAACTTGATATAGTTTTTTTAGAGTTATTATTGAAAACTGGGTCAAACTTATTTTACCAAAATTACAATTAAATATAGTTGCCTTAAATTTTGCGTTTGAGCACATTTGCTAATGATTTGTAAAATTGAAATGTCTTTTTGTAGTTTTTTGGCATAATATTATTTTAGCGATTAACAAAAAAAGTAAAAGATTGTTTCTTTTCAAACTTATTAGTAATTGCATACTCTTGATTCCACCATATCCTATTATGATAGAGTGATTATAATAAATGTAGTTGAAGCATGACTAGTAGTACACTGTAAAAAAAATCCCGTTGTTTTTACGGAAAAAAACTGGCAGCTGTGGTTACCAGAACTTTACCGTCAAAAATACGGTATCAACGTTATTGGTTTTACAGACTTAACTTAAAATTTACAGTAATAACCCGTATTTCATTATCTGATACAATGTTAATTTACCAACCTATTGAAGTATTAATATCTGTTTTTGTTTTGTACAATTGTAATACACTGACAATCAGAGTCACATGATCAATCAAAGCTCTACCACAAGAAAGTTAATACATATATAAAGAAGCTGCACAGTGTTATTCGCACAAACATTAAACACCATCATGGTAACGCATGAAATTTTAAAAATGCAATAAACATTAATTTAACAACATTAAATGTAACATAAAACCCTAATGTACATAACTGATATAGAAAAGAACTAAAAAAAACTAAGAAGAAACTGTTATTTCAACAAAAATAAATCAAATGTGAAGTGTCACGCAGGGAAGTGTGGGAATGTCAATTATACAATGAGTTGTTTTTTTTACACTTTCAAAAACTGTAAACAGTAAAAAATTACATTAAATGTACCGTTAGATCTATCACAGTTATTTACCGTATATAGTAAGGAAACTTTCTGTTAACCAATTAACAGTTTTGCACTGTAGCATTTTTACCATTAAAATCACGATCATTTTTTACAGTGTAATGTCAGCTCAGTTACTCATAAAAAGGATCACCTTTACTTTATTTTGCATTTGATCATTTATTTATCTTAAAGAACCGATTTGTGTACTGTATGCTCTCAGTGCTTTAGCCAACAGCATATTTCAGTGACATTTGCATAATCTGGTGCTTAAAATGCATGTTTGTTTGTTTTATCAAGCTAGTTATAAAAGTTAGATTATAGATTTCGATTAAAAGACATGTCTACTTTCTCCACATCACTGTTTTAATTTAAAAGTGTACTGTGTTGAATATACGTAACTTTTTTTAAGAAATGCAATTTAGATCTCGAAATGCATTTGTAACATTTTAATTTGTAAACATAATGTCACAATTGAGAGGGACTAAAGATCTGATTGTGTTTGCTAAAGTTTACAGTAGTTATCATAGTTTTTTAAAGCTCAAGATCACGTAGAGTCCTGTCAGCAGATAGTGTGTGTTTTTACAGTTCCTCCCAGTGTGCCAATCGACACCTGCGGGGAGGACCGGCCCTGGGTCACCACCCGACCTTTTGACCTGTGTTTTTACTGGGATATAAGGGGAAATCTAAAGACCAAGCGTTCTTCAGCATGCAGATTGCAGACTTTATTTTAGTCCACACGTCTGAGACGCTGCCGTATTTTCGTGGCGCTCTTCAATTGCTTTCATTCCACTCATATTTTCTTTCTTGTCTGAGGAATGTGTCTTTGCAAAGACTCATGTGTGCGTGCAAAAATGTTTGTGCACGCATATCGGTGGATTTAGAGGCTTTGTGTATGTTTACACACTGTCATCTTTGCATGGTGTGTATATTGATGAACACACACTGCCCATTTTATATTAGTGTAGATGATCAGATTAATATTAATATTCAGATTAATAATATGAATACATTAAAAAATGTATTGAGTATTGGTGTTTTTTGTAATATTATTGTTTTTGCATTGATTTAAGGTGGTTTTAGGTACTTGGTTGGTACACATTTACCATGGTAAAATCGCTGTAATGCAAGCTATGTTGTTTTCCGATCATACAGGTAAAATAGTACAAAAAACACTTACTTTAACTATTAAACTATTGCTTTGCTGGCATAGAATGACAGTTTTTTAATGCACCACATGCTTGCACTTTTTTTAATTTGTGATGAGCTTTAAAACATAGAAATGTTTTATAAATAGAAATGGAGCAGTGGGCTTGTTTACACGCTGATGAAACGATGGCAGTGTCTTGTCCGAGCGTCTGTGATCTTTGAGGCGTGCAGCAGAATCATGTTGGAAAGGCTCTGGCACCAAATGGCTTTCCAAAAATACACTCTCAAACAATTCCAGCCAGATCCGTTGGCTCACACAGACTCGACACCACCACGCAAACTTTCATTTCATTATTCCACACAACGACATAACCCAGCCAGCACTTGAAAGGAGCAGTGCAAATATATCTCTTTTCTTCCCCTCTTTGGTTTCATCTCAGCGTCTCTGACACACGGAGACTCGACTGTGTGGAAGCGGAAATCTTGGATCTCTTGGAACTTCAGAACGTTGTCAAGGCATCTAATTGCTGAATGTCAGAGTTTGTTCAGTGACACAACCTTGAACCTTCAGCTTTGACAAAGACACAGTATAGCGGCGCTCTGCCGGTGAGGAGTGCGAGGGTTTGAGCGGCTGTCAGGGATTTTACGTTGCGTACGAATAGTCGTGAACTTCTGAAAGCGCCAAATGAAGCCCTAATGGAAGCTGTTTATGCACTCACTGGCTTGTTTGTTGTTGTTGTTTTTACGTTATTTGTTTATTCTGTTCTGAATAGGGTTTTCTCTTCTTAGTGAACACAGTTTTCTGCTTTGCTTTTTTATGAAACGCTTTTCACATTTCACGTAAACAAGTCACAAAAAATTGGAATAGGTCATTTAGATTATGTCTTATGAGTGATTCTTTTTTTAGAGTCTCAAACTGATATTTTACATTTTTGCTGCCTTAAATTAAGTCATTTCAACTTACATTACATTAAGCTGACTTTAAAAAATGAGTTAAATCTCATATAACTTGTAAAAAAAAAAGTGGAAAACACATGGTTATAACTTATTGATCATAAAATTTGTTTACAGTGCGTGTGACAGTGACACATTCCTTTCTCAATAGCTAATATTTGTTGATGAATTATATTTGAGCTAATATGTTTTTCTACATGTTTTAAATCAGTAAAATGCTTTGTAAAAACAGAAATAGAAAAGAAACCGAATAGCTAATTTAGTTATTGGTTTCAACACTGTAATGATGTTGTTTTATTACAACCATCTGCAAGCACATGATGACGACTGTAAATCTCAATCTTCTAAACATCTGTCAAATCTCACAGATCTGAACTCGCAGAGTCTGCTCTCTCTGCGAACCTCAACAAAAGGCTAGTTTTCTTGTGGCATGTGTTTAAACGGTGTAAGGTTTAGCGCCTGGGGGTTGGGGTGATGTAATGTTATTTTTTGATGGGTGAGAATGAGGTGAGCAGAGGGCAGGGCAGGAATATTTGACAGTGTTGAAACGAGCCAGAGATATGATTACTGCGAGCGCTCAGCACGCCGTTCTCTCTGTCCTGTGGGAAGCTCGACTCCTTACGGCTCCTTAGGCTGAACACACCAGTGCACACAGTATACACTTCTATAGCTCATTACAGACGGAGTAAATCATCTACGGCAGCTCGGTTTCAAACCAGCAGACAGGCGCTCATTTAACACGTTTTAAGAGTGTGTCGCGCCGTT